GCTGATTGCAATGCACACAATCAATGTCTGGTTTCTAACGATTGATAACACTTTTGTCACTAATGGTGACAATGCATTACTAATCAGCTATTCAACTAACAATTATATTACGTAAATAGCAATGTTATTTTAAAAGGTAATTTTTATAAATAAAATATTTAATGATAAATTATTTAAAAATGTGAAATTTAAAAGAATAAGATACAGCAAACTTAATAAACTTATAATAAGTATAATGTAGAAAAAGTTGTTAAGAAATAAAAATATAAATGTAAAGCTTAGCTAACAAAGTAATTAGCCCAGGGTTGTTTGTGTCTCTTTGTTATTCTTATGAGTAACCGAAATATTAATCGGATTTTGATTACGAATAGCTTGAGAATAACGCGGTGGTGGGCTGGGAGGTGGTGTAGTAGCGAGCATAGGTGCACTTGAAAGTACCCGGGTATCAGCATCGGTGATCATATCACCATGATCCTGGTGCGTAAAATTAGCGAGTTCTACTTGTGAACTAGGTGATCTTACTACCGTTTGAGCTTGGCGTTTCCGATCGGACTTATACATACGATTCGCAAACACAAATGAAAATAAGCTAGTTACTGTAAATAGTGCTGCTAGTAACCAATAGGTAACAACACCGGAATTGTAAGCCATTTTTGCGGTGAAACCGGATACGGCACACATTAGATAGAAATACACATTGCAACAACAGTAACTGCCCTTGGTCACGCTACATATTCCAATTATCTGAACGGCTATTACATACGCGCCCACATATAACACCATAAAACTATCCTGTTCCTATTTGAATTAAGTATATAATAAATTAAAATTATTTAACCGTAACAAGAATATTCCTAATTAGAAATCTATATTACAAACTTAATTTATATTTAATTTAATTAACTAAATTTTAAAAGCTAAGTTAATTGACTTACTAGTGCTTTTTGTCTATTTTTCTCAACATTATTTCCAGGCAAATAGGTTTGTCTGAAGGTTAGGTCCATTACGATCACCACTGATATAATACAAATACAGCTCATGGATAGCAATATCCATTTTATGCGTGTATGACAATTACTTCGACCATGGTCAGCCATACTATTAAAATATTATTTTAAAAATATTTAATTTTTCTAAATCTAGTAAAACTATTATAATAATGTTAATACTTATTATACTTACTCTCCAATCTATTTTCTATGCAAAAAATTAATGAATTTTATTAAGTTTGTAAATCAAAGCAATTTTATTTATGACAAAAATTTTCACTTTAGTATATCAAATTAATAACACCATCGCACCAGACATTTATTGTTTTAATAACACTCCTTTAAAAAGTATGAAATTTAAATCCTTATATCCGTTGAAAATATGAAACTTTTAAAAACAATTTCTTGTATAAAATTATGAATGAATGTATGTATGCGTGTGTTATCTGTGTGTATACCTACAAGTGTCACAATTTAACGTTTAATACCGATTCTGAAAATCCGAAAGAATTTCCCACAGAATTACTCATTGTTTGCATAATTCTGGTCATAATTGGAGTGATTCTCGTTTATGCAGTTTTTGTCACCAATTATCACAAACGCAAACAAATGTCAATCAATACCATTGTACCGGACTTTAGCTCTAATGAAAACTCTATAAATATCATATTTCTGAGACGACAACTCATGAATCCAAAGGCATCTCATTGCCTAACATCGGAGAGACCGTCAGAAATGTCAACAAAAAATATGCAATAAATTCAAATAAAAAGAAATATTCAATTGTTAATTAAAAAGGTTTAAACAGCTTTTTTGTGATTTGTTTAGTCATTAAATTCATTATATAAATTTGAGATAAAAATGTGATCTAAATTTTAAGAATTTTCAAATTATAACAAAAATTGTTATTCAAAACTATTCCTATAGTCTATGATTCACATAATTGTTTGAATACTATCTATGTTATTTAATAAATTATCATAATTTCACTTCAGTTTAATGTATTTTATTTAAAATATTTACACAGCATTAGAAATAATAGTACATATAGTAATTATTATACAAAGAGATTTGCAAACATTTATACAATTTTATAGATAATTTTTGTCTTTATTTCAATTTAAATGAATGACATATAAAATATTTGCATGAATTTCGTATTTCAAACAATAGATCANAACAATCCAGTTGCTAGTTACAATTTGTAATAAAGTTTCTAAAAATAGGTCCAGGGCAAATATAATTATTTAAAAGTAATTAATTAAACTTATTTAAAATTGTTCACAGAATACAGCTAAAGGCATAATAGGCACCATAGGAGCCGTATCCCTGGTCATACAGCTCCTGGGTCTATACGGGGCCCATAAGGAGCACTACAACTTTACGATGGCATACGGGATCGTCTCAGCCATACTGGCCGGCCTGTGCATAGTGTCGGCGCTCACTGGCAATAGTGTGGGTGATTGGTTCCTGATGATATTTTTTGCCATATGTGCGAGTGTTGCCCTACAGTTTGCCCGCGAGATCAGGCGCCTACTGAACCCACCCCTCAGTCCGAACGTCGTGTACATGAATAATAACGGTCAGCCCCCGTATGTGGTGCCCGGTGCTCAGGTTCAGTCAGGACCCATGTATTTGACACCAGTGACAATACCGGGACAAACGGGTCCCGTGTATATTCAGTCACAAACTGGACAGGTAGTCGCGTTTCCAGCACCGGGAGCGACGTATGTGGGGCCGGCAGATAATCCGCCAACTTATAGGCAGTCTCAGGAGGATATTAGTAATATGTCTGTAAGTGCGGCACCGGGAGGTTCGGATGGTATTGCAAATCAGAATGTTGAAGAACGTAAGGTGGTGTTCCAGTAATATACAGGTGCTATTTGTTTACAAGTTTTATTTTTATAAATGATTTATGAAACTGTACTGAATTTATTGCATAAATAAATTAATTATTTAAACATGCTTTTAAAATACGGTATAACATATTCAAGTACTAAATTTTAAATTATATCATGATAAATTATTTTACTGTTAAATAAATTATGTATTTTGTTGTTGTTGTTTATTTGTTATTAATTAATTAAATAATTTTTTATGTTTCCAAAATAAATTAAGTTTATATTTTATAAAATAGTGCTAATAATCAGATAATTATTTTTTTGTAGCTAACGAATGACATATACCGCTGACACATGTCTGAGTTATTTAATACCTACACCTCTTGATATAACTTATCTACATATATAGTGATAATAATTTATACCTTCTGTACAATTAATAATAGATTCATAAAACATCTATTAATAAATCATAGAAACCAGTAAATAATTTATTTGTCATAAAAACGATCACTTAATCAATAAGGGCACTTAATCCGGAATTCAATATTTAATAATAGTTATGAAACAAAGTTTATATATTTTTTACATAACTATTAGAAATAATGATTTATGTACGGCAATTATAATCCTGGGAAACTAATTGTACCCTTAGTAACTATATGTGTTATCAGTGGTGGAAACCATAAGTAATTTCATTATTTTTAAAACACAATTGAAATACCAGAAAAATAAAAATCATATTAAAATATAGTAATAATAAGTTAAGCGACTTTTTATTGTATTATTAATTATAACACTTTACTGTAATAATTAAATTTTATAAATAATATATTAAATAACAAGCAGTCTAATATATCGTATTAATTACAACAATGGATGCCACCCCCCCAAAACCACTACGGGACAAAAGGTACCGGTACATAAAGTGGGCAGTCATGTCGTTTTGTGGGATAACGCTTGTAATGACCATCATCATTATGTCCATAGAATTACCGTACCTCAATAGTTATAGTAATTCTTATTATTCTTATTATACCCAGGACCAAATTGTATGTATAATTTGTTTTATTATCTAGTAAAAAAATTATTAATACGGTATAACTTATAGCATTAACACAACTTTGTATTTGTAGAAAACCAGCAGGGCACTTATCATAACAGTGGGCGTGCTTTCAATATTAGCCCAATTCGGTGGTCTATGGGGCGCTTATAAGGATCACTACTATATCAGTCTCAGTTACGGTATTGGATCGACACTACTGGCCGGTCTATGTATTGTATCGGCTATTGTTGGCGCCGGTGGGATTGATTGGATCCTGGTCATATTTTTCGCAATATGCGGTTCACTGGGCTGTCAGCTATCGCGAGAGATTAAACGCACAAATAGGATGCCAGTGCTTAACCAGACAGTGTACATGAACCCGGGTATACAACCCAATATGGTGTACCAGGTGCCCAATACTGGTCAGCCCGGATATGTGGTACAGGGAGGTCAGGTTCAAACCGGACCCATGTATATGAGTCCTACCCTGACTGCTGTTCAGTCAATGCCAGCCCAAAGTGGACAGGTATTCGTGTCGAGTCCACAGTACCCTACATCGCAAGTGGTAGCCTTTCCTACTCCTGGACCCTCATATGGGGGTTCGTCAACCTCACCGCCCACTTATACTCAGTCTCAGGAGGATATCAGTAGAATGAGTGTTAATGAACAGCCGAGTGGAGCACAGGGAGCACCGGGAGGTTCGAACAGTTACCTCAATGAGAATATTGAGGAACCGTTCTGATAAGGGGTAATTATTTCAATACTAAAATATGAATAATAACTTAAAAATTTTTTATGAAAGTAAATTCAATAAATTACTATATTAAACTAATTATTCGAATATACACATCGACCCATTTAAAAAAACAGTTTAAGAAATTGGTATGAAATTCATTTGTTATATAATGTTTGTCTTATTTGTTATAGATTTTGTTATATGAACATAAAAGTTACTTAAAGTTTAGTCCTACTTTCAATGGTATCCCATAGTCACCAATAGAGATACAAAGTATTATCAATTTGATTGCTATTTTATTATTTTAAGCACAAGTTTTTGAAATGAAATACAATTCTGACAATTATTATATGTTTTGCCGTTATTTAGTAAATGTGTACTGAATTTAGTGAATAAAAATATTTTAGTGTAATCAAACTGTAAAATAAAATTGTATACAGTATTTAAAACATAGCGTGTTAATTTTATTATTAACATAATGGATGCTAGTTTACAAAAATATCGGGACAAAAGGTTCCGGTATATAAAGTGGTCACTCATGTCATTCTGTGGTATAGCATTTGTGGTCACCATAATTGTGCTGACTTTTACAATTATTTACCTAAATGGCAATTTCATTTCCCATTATTTAACATACAGTGAAATTGTAAAATAAATATTTTGTTGAATTTTATTTTAAAGTAATACTGTATTAGTTATAATTTATAACTCATTTTGTATATATTTAATAGAGTTCATCAAGGGCGCTTATCATAGCAATAAGTGTGATTACATTTTTGAGCCAGATCCTAGGCCTATGGGGCTCGGGTAGGGAGCACTACTACATGTGTCTGACCTACGGTGTAATATCCATACTACTAGCCTGCCTGTGTATCGTATCGGCCATAATCAGTCAATATCTAGTAATCTGGTTACTAATGGTTGTGCTCGGGTTTTGTGGTTCCCTGAGCTGTCAGTTTGCACGGGAGATACGCCGATGCGATAACATGCCCGGCCATACGGTCTATATGAACGCCGCAATACAGCCTAATATGGTGTATCATATATCCAGTACGGGTCAGCCCCCATATATTATGCCCACAGCACAGGTACCCAACAGACCTGTCTACGCTACTCCTACTTTAACTCCAGTGCAAACAATACCGGCTCACAATGGACAGGTAGTAGTTTCGAGTCCAATGTATGATACATCGCAAGTGGTGGCCTATCCAACACCCACCCCGGCATATGTAGGTCCATCAACTTCACCACCACCTTATTCAGTGCCTGATGTGGATGTTAGTGCTGGACAGTCATCCGAAGCACCAGGAGGTTCGGCCACTTACTTAAATGAAAATATGTATGAACACAAAACAGTTCCCAATTAACTGATTAATTATGATTTTATTTATTATTAATTTCTGACAATATTTATTCTGGTGATATAAAGATCATCAATTAAATCCGAGATGAAAGATTGTTTAATAACTCGCTTATTACTTGTAGTTCAAATCTATACTCTGGCACACTTAGAGTTCATTATGAGGTAGTAATGATAAAATAAGAATATTCTGTATGACATTGTCATACAGAATATTCTTATTTTATCATTACTACCTCATAATGAACTCTAAGTGTGCCAGAGTATAGATTTGAACTACAAGTAATAAGCGAGTTATTAAACAATCTTTCATCTCGGATTTAATTGATGATCTTTATACTTTGTTCACAGCTATGTTATTTTATAATTTGTAATTAATTTTAACATTAATACAGTAAAGAAATTAGAATTAATTTTTGATTAAGTAATTTATTATTTTAAAAATAAATTTATTTATTATTTAATAATTATTATGTTTGTTAAAATGATAAATATGTTATATTTATACATTTAACACACAATTATTTGTATATAAAATTATTTTGACAACTTCTGTTTAAAAATTATTTTTATACAGACGATCTATTTATTATTTTAACATAACTAACATAACATTCAAACAAAAATATAAGGGTATAAACGTATGTCTCTATATTAAAAATTATATAATATAATAAGTTGTTTGTGCAATAGTGAACTCGCTTATTATCGCATACAGTTAAGTATCGATAAATGTCCAGACTTGTGATAATGGTGATAAGTGTTTTATCAGTTTTAAGAAATATTAATGATACTTATAAAATGTGATTAAATAAAATTATATACATTGTATAATAATTAATCCTTAATACTTAATAGTTAGCAGTTCTCAAGTCAAAATTATTGCTTGCTAACTTAAATATTGAGATGTGAACATTATTTTTTAATGCCAAAATAAATAATCAAGTAAATAAATAGTTAATAATTGCGTGTTATAATAAGCAGTAATAATAATGAATCCCAAACCGTGGCTAAAGTACCAAAAGTACCGGTATACAAAATTGTCACTATATGTTTTATGTGGTCTGGCATTCATACTGACCATAATCGACATGTCCATATCATTGGCTTATTATAACTCAAACAATGGCTCAACTAATTTGAATCAACAACAAATTGTAATATATAAATTTATTTTTAAAACTATATTACTTAATTATCTGAGAATATTCGGAAAATTAAAAATTTGGATTCATTATTATTACTGCTTATTATAACACAAACAATGGCTCAACTAATTTGAATCAACAACAAATTGTAATATATAAATTTATTTTTAAAACTATATAACATTTAATTAAAATAACATTATCATAATTTATCCGGCTAGACCTTGGCAAAAATTCTTAGTATAATAGTCATTACAACAGCCCCATTAAATCAAATACTGGGCTTATGGGGCGCCTATAGGGAAAGCTATGTTTGGTGCTATGTTTATTTTTTCATATCAATTATTACTGGTGGTGTGTGCGAGTGGTTAGCCCTTATCGGACATTTTTGGGGTGACCTGGTCCTGACTATACTACTATTTGTGTCCGGATTTACTGCCGTATACTTTGCGGCACAGATATTACGATTGAAGAGGTCGGTGCTCAGTCAAACTGATGTCAAATATAATCTTTACGATTCAATTGATGATTATTAATTTGATATGTGCTTGTTATAATACTTTGTAATTAAATTGCAAGAAAAATAAAGTTAATTTTGTTAACAAAACAAATTTTATTTATTATGCAAATAAGGTTTGTAAAACAAATTTTTATAATACAGTTTTTAGGGATAAAATTATATTTATAAATTGTAAACTATTATATCCAATGAACGTGAACTTGAACCTAAATACTATGGCCTCATAATACATACAGTAAATCATTGAACACAACTATAATAAAATATGAGATAAAATCACCAAGGCAATAATAAAACACAATTATCTCATTAATAAACAGATACACTTAAGCGCATCATAAATGATTGTCTCAAAAATACCATAAATTGTACATGTTTTACTAGTCGTAAATATTTTATGAAATATATGCTATTTTATCAATTATAATGAATTTAATTGCCGTGCTCATTTAATACAATTACAATTGTGCAGTCACTTTGCATTCACACATAAAGCACTCAATTATTAATGCAATTATTTTAAATGTAAAATTCATACAAGTTTTACAGGTATATTGTGTGTACGTAACTTAACCCCGGAAATGCCTAACCCATTGGACACCCGGCACCGGAACCTCAAGCGTTCACTAGTGGCCTGTTGTGTGGTGGCCCTCATATCGGCGGTCATCATACTGTCCCTAAACATGGTTGTCATCAACAACTATAGATACTATGACACATATTATTACAACTCCGTGGTATATTAATTAATACAAATCCTAACTCATTATAATTATAATAATTAAATTACATTCAATTAAATATAGAGTACAATGACTGCGATCGTGATAACCGAGGGTGTGATCAGTATATTACTGCAGTTCATGGGCATAGCCGGCGCCCATAAGGAGCACTACGGCATGTGCCTCACCTACGCTGTAATATCATCAATACTGGGAGGCCTGTGCTTTGCAAACGCCATAATCTATGGTTATGGCGGGAACTGGTGGTTAGCGGTGCTGTACTTCACGTGCGGGTGTGTTGGCTCCTATTTTGCTAAAGATATCAAACGGCTTAAGACACAGGCGCTCAACACCACTGTCTATATGAATGGTGTGTCCGGTCAACAGAATATCGTATACCACGTGCCACCCCCGGGACAGGTAGGTCCCGTATATGGTGTGAACACTCAGCAAATGGCACCCAACGGTCAGATGTATATGTCGACCACATTTTCAACCTATCAGCCATCACAACAGCCCTTACCGTTTGCTACATACCCGGCACCTGTGGGAGTTGGTGGAGGGGCACAGTATGCTGAGCCGCCTGTCCTACCGCCTAGTTATACTGAGTCGGCTACTAGTAGTCAGCCCAATATGCAAGCATTCGGTGCACCTGACCCTCATACTAATTTAGGTCCAGGTGCTGGTCAAAAGCCAGAGCCACCGGCACCTGGATGGCAACCGTAGTCATAATTTTTTGGTACACTTTTAGTGCAATATTGTAATTAACCAGTGCAATTTATTTTCATAACCTGTGGACCTTAAATGTAATAAATTGTTTATTAATTTATTGTCGCATTTTTATCACTTAATTGTAATTATATCTGTTATCTAATAAATAAAAATATTTTGTTAACACAATGTTCAAAAGTCTAACATAACTATCTTACTACCTTATTAATTTATTAACTAGCAAGTTAGATATTTACATTAAAATGCTATATTCTTAAAACATTAGAATTTAAGCTTAACATTGATTTTTTGTCTGTTTTATCATAAATATAAATGTTTTGAGAGCTATTGTAATGTTCAATCACTTGATTGATACTGATAAAACATAGCATACTAAACAATTTATAAAACCTTTACTGTATACTTTGAAATACACAATATTGATTTGAATATTTAGAATACAAATTATTACAGTTATATTAATCTCATAAAAAGGGCATCACCTATTTATGAGATAATGCACTCACCCTGATCATATTAAATAGC